TATGTCAGAGAGAGGTGATATAGAATGTTTAATTTTCTAAATAATGCCGTTGGCCCTGGTTTTGTAATTTATAGTGGATCAGAGCCTTCAAAAGCCGATTTCCTATTTTATACCAGCCCAATTATTACTAATGATGGGCTTCTTTACAGAATGGAAAGACTAATAGCCCTTTGAACTATTATGAAACTGCATTGTAGTTCATTAGCATGAATACCTGGTAGTTTTTTTTTGCATCACCTAAAGTGTTTATAATTCCTTAAATTATACTCTTTTGTGAGGTATTCCCCAGCTCTCTCCCTACAATCCCATGGACAAGAGATTTATTTATTTTATAGGGTAGTAATTAATTTTCTAAGATGCCTAGTAAATGATGTACACATTTGTGTTGACTTTTTTGTTTTCATTTCCTTTATTCTCTTTCTCTGCCTTCTCTTTCCTTGTCCCTGTAATCTTTGGGAAAGTGCATTGTTGAGTACATAGTAGGTGTTCAGTAAATACTTTTACATGATCTGTAACAAGAAATAAGTACTTCTCTTTCAGTCATACTCCTCTATTCCCAAATGCTATTCCTGAAAAAAATAGCTCTTCAGATAGTCTTAGAAATGACAGTATTTACAATGAGTAATCCTTATTTCTCCTTATTATTTAGCCCACTTTTCACTCAACAATGGGAGAAACAGTATAATGATACCCCTCACTTCATCACTGTACATCTTTTTATACAGTTAAAAGTCCTCACATCTCGGCCTGATCCAAGTCATGCAGTGATTTCCAGAATATGATTTCCATCAGTTTGCCCAGGACTGTTTCCAGTAATGGGTTACCAGTTGCTCCTTTACTGTTAAGCTGTCACATAGTTTTTTTACTGTGTTAAAACCAGGAAGATGGAGACTCCAACTCCATCTTCCAAAGAGGGGCCCTCTGCTTTTTTGGTAACCAAAAGTAAACATTATCCTTACAACTATTTTTAAAATTTATTTACCAAATACTATGTACTTGGCAGTATTCTAAGTACTTTACCAAAGTTAACTTTTTAAATTCTTGTAAAGTGTCTGAGGTGGGTGTCATTATCATAAGGAAAAAGGCAAGAGGCTGAGTAGCTGGCCTAAGATCACGCAGGTTGCAAATGGTGCCAGGAGCCAAACCTGGGCAGTCTGCCTCCAGAATTGATGCTTTTAACCACTGTAATATGTCTCTATTATTAAAGATAATTCTGCAGGCAGGACTTACTCATGGTCAAGAAATCTTTAAAAGGTCAGATTCTCCCCAAATTTTAAAGGACTGCCACAACACACCGTCTAGAGAGAAGAAAAATCAGTAGCAAATTGAGTAATCCATTCCAATATATTTAGACTTAGAATGTGCATTTTTCCCTGGGAAAGGCTCATACAGAGATAATAACTTGTGAGGATGGAAGTATTTCTTTTACTGCTTCCCTTGAATTAAAGTTGTTAGCTCATCTTTGCCTGCATGCATTTTATCATAGACAATGAGGAGACCCTGGTGACACTTTCAGTTTTCTACCTGAAGAATTTTCTTAACTAGATCATTACGACATTTCCTATTTTCCTTATTGCCATGGGTGACAGTGTTGCCAAACTTTGCGGGAGTACATACAAGGTTCCCCTTTCTTCCAGTTTCTAATAACTTTTTAAAAACTCGCCTTTCAGCCCTGACCAACAACCTTCTCAAAGCCTTTAGGCTTCCAGGTAACACTCACCTCAAAGCCCTTCTCACCACCTGGTCCCAGTGGCAAAGCCCTACTTCTCGGTCCCTGAATCTCGCTTGGTTATCTAATGCTACAAATTTAGTGGCTTAAAACAACAATAGTCAATTGTTTTGCTCCTCTGCTCCATGCAGTGTTTTCTGGAGTGGTTTGACTGGGGCTCCTCCACTTTGAAAATAGCTCGCTCAGATGGTGAGCGAGTCGATGCTGGCAGTTGGCTGGGAGCTCAGCCAGGACTGTCAGCCAGTGACCTCATTTCCTTTATAGAGGCTGCTGGGGCTTCTTCATGGCATGGTGGCAGTGTTCCAAGAGTGAATGTCCCAAGAGCCAGGCAAAAGCTGTATCACCTTTTCTGACTTAACCTTGGAAGTCATGTAGCAACACTTCCACCATAAGTTTCAAGGAGAGGGAACACAGACCTCATCTCTTAATGATAGGAGTATCCAGTCACATTGCAAAAAAAGAGCAGGAGGAATAGGAGATATTGTGGTCATTTTTGGAGAGTACAGTCTGCCATAAAACAAGACTGTATCAGATCTCCCATTGTAGAACCTTTTGTCTCAATTCCTTCTGTTTTACTTTAGCTAAGCTAATTCCAATAATTTAGTTTTGACCACTTTGTTGGATGATATGTTTTCATTTAAGTATGTATGTATGTATACATATATATATCAACTTTGTCCTCATTTGTTTTTTGCCTGACTACCTTGTTCTATTTATTAAAATTATACTTGAGAAAAACCTGTCATCTATTAGGAAAATCAGATTTCTTTAAAAAAACATCTAATTGATATTCTGGTTTGCATTTGTAGACCCAATACTGTAAGCATTTATTGAAAAGTAACAGTGATAATTTATTTTTCTTCCTAGAGGTAGCCCATGAATAGTGGGATAAAAAATAATTCAAAACAGGTTAGGAAATGATTTGCTGTTGACATGGGTATGTTTTGCAGTGAGTTGACTGTTTTATACTTTAAGGGCAAGCCTATTAAGGATTCATTTGTTCAACTAACATTTGTTGAGTACTGTGTCAGGCATTGGGTTTACACTGGCAAAGGGAGACAGATACGGTCCTGCCCTCATGGAACATGTCATAGAGTGAGGAAGATAGGAATTAATACATAATCAAATAAATGTAAAATCACAACCTTGGTAGACCTTATAAAGGAAAGGAGCCATGGGAATATCTGCTGGGTAGCCTGACCTAGTCTCCTCTGACGAAGTACTGTTTTAGCTGAGTTTTGAAAGATGGAGGAGACATAATCTTGCCAAGAAACACATGAGTGCGTATGTCATATCCTTGCACAGATACGTGTACAGACATCTGTAGACACACATACCCCCGTTTTACAGACATTTCTAAGAAAGCAGTCGCTGCTGCTGCAGTTCTGTTGAGAGACCACATAGTAAGTAACTCTCCTGGAAAGCACATGTTCATATGGCCTGACAGAATGGAAGTCTGAGTCTTAAGGGGCTTTTTTCATTTAAGAAGAATTACTTAATTTTGAATAATGGTAATCACTATAAACAAGTACAATTTATGTGAGGGATAAAGTACTAAGTATAACTGTGGCTTTCCAAGTATGGCCTGGGGAACCTTGGAGTCCCCAAGACCCCTTCAGGGTATCTTTGAGGTCAAAATGATTTTTATGATAATACTAAGACATCATTTGCCTTTTTCACCTTCCTTCTCTCATGAGTGTAAATGGAATTTTCCAGAGACTAGATGATGTGATTTGATCTCAGCAGATTAAATGCAGAAGCATATGTTAATATGAAAATTCAGCTGTCATCTATTAAGCC